TTTATTGACCCTTTCAAAAAAAGTTAAAAAACAGCTCCTGGTCTTATTGATGGTTTCAGTTGTTTTTCTATTTTCTATCTCAGCGATTTCAGCTCTTGTCCTTATAATTTCTTTTGTACTAGAAGTTGTAGGATTACATTGTTCTTTTTCTATATGCTAAATGTGTTGTGTTAGATCATTGATTCTTCATTCTTCCTTTTTTATGTGTGTGTCTACTGCTTTGAACTACTCCCTGAGGACTGCCTTAGCTGTGTGCCAGATATTTTGGTATGTTGTATTTTGATTATCATTTGTTTCAAGGAAGGAACTTTTTTAATTTTATTCTTAATTTCTTTTATAATCCAATCATGTTCTAGCATAGAGTTATTTTTCACATAGGTGGTTTTGTAAGCTTTACTCTCCTGTGGTTAATTTCTAGTTTTATGACATTATAATCTGAGAAGATACTTTGCATTATTTCAGTGTTTTTTAATTTGTTGAGGTTTGCTTTGTGTCCTAATATATGATGGATTCTGAAGAATGTACCACATGCACTTGAGAAGTAAATTGAGTTTTAGTTGAGTGCAGTACCCTGAATACATCCACTAGATCAAGTTGGCTTCTTGTATAGTTTAGATCTTTTGCATCTTTGTTGAATTTTGTTTGAATTGACCTAAATCTTGGTGATAGTTGTGTGTTGAAATTTCCTACCACTATTGTGGTGCTATTTCTCTCTTCAGTTCTATTAACTATTGTTTATATATTTTGCACCTCTATCATTTGGTGCATAAATGTTGACCAAGGTCATGTCTTCTTGATCTATTGTATCTACATTCAGTATGTATCCTTATCTTTGATGATGGTTTTCATTCTGAAATCTATTTTATCAGAGATTAGTATTGCCACTCCTGCTTTTTTGAGATTGCCATTTGCTTGGTATATTTTTCCCCTCATCCTTTGGTTTTGAGTCCATCGTTTTCTTCTTTTTTTAGATGTGTCTCTTGCAGGTAACATATTGATGGGCT